TCGTCCGCCTCCTCCTCCTCCTCCTCCTCCTCCTCCACCTCCCCCTGCATCCCTTTTCCTTATAAGCAATTTCTCCCTGTCGCACCCCAGGCCGGTCGGAAAGGCGGGCCATGCGTTTCGCCTGAGAGGTCCTTATCATTTATGATCCTGAAGTAGGGAAGGCGACAACAGTATCACCGATGGAGGGCGGATCGCTTCCCAATGCGGCCTTCGCCGTAGCACCGCCCACAATCCAGGATTGTCATGGCGCAGCGGTTGCGTCGATTCGCGGAGTTGAAGTCCCAGGAATCGTGTTCGGCACAGGCGGCAGTGGCACCTCCGGTCATGGGCACCCCGCGCCCTCAACTCGGTGCCGCGTGGCGGCATGCATGGCGAATCCCTCCGCCTCGTTCCTCTCCCTCCCCTCCCCCTTCCTTTCTGCTTCTCCTTGGCCCCCTCTTCCTCCTGATCTCCCCATACTTACCGCCCTCCCCCTCTTCCTCCCTCATCGCGCTCCTCCTCCACCTCCTCCCCTTCCTTGTCTCCTCTTCCTCGATTCCCTCCATCGTCTCTTTCCAGTCTCCCCTCTTCCCCCCTTGAACTCCTCATCGTCATCCTCGTCAGTTTCCCTCTTCTTTCTCGTCCTCCTGCTCCTGCTCCTGTTCCTGCTCCTGCTGCTGCTGCTGCTGCTGCTTCTGCTGCTCCTCCTCCTCCTCCTCCTCCTCCTCCTCCCATCCTCCTCCTCCCATCATCCCTCTACTCCCGTTCATCCTCTTCACTCTCCGTGTGTTTTGTTTTCATCGTGATAATTATTCATTGCGTGGAGCTCCCCATATGTGCATCTATTCGCGTGGACCTGTCCGCCGTGAGTGCCTAGGCGAAAGAGTTTTCGAATATAAGCGGGCTTGAGTTGTGACGGTCTGGTCATGAATCGAACTGCGAATGAATTGGAGTGTGAATGAGTCTCAGTAGTACGAGCGCGTCTCTGCGCATGAGCCTGGGGCCTCCTGAGACCTCCTGGGGCTTCCTGGGGCCTCCAGGAGCCTCTTGGCGCCTCGTGGGGCTTCGAGTGGGTTCCTGAGGCCTCCTGGAGCTTCGCGTGGCCTCCTGGGGCCTCCTGGAGCCTCCTGGACCTCCTAGGGAGGATTCGTGCCCAAGGAACGGCCCAATCTATAAGAACATGCGTACATAAAACATTGTGGATTGGAGCCGCAGGAGAAGGGCAATGTATAGGAACACACGTCAAGCACCAAGGATTCGTGCCCCAAGAGAGGCCCAATCTGTAGGAGCATACGTAAAACATTTAGGATTGTCATCAAGGATTCGTGCTCCAGGTGAGGCCCAATCTATGGGAACATACGTAAAACACATGGGATTGGAGCCACTCTTGTTGCCTTCTGAGGCCTCCTGCTCCTGGGGCATCTCGGGGCCTCCTGTTGCCTTCTAGGGCCTCCTGGCGCTTCCTGTGGCCTCCTGGGGCCTCCTGGGGCCTCCTGAGGCCTCCTGGAGCTTCTTAGGGCCTCCTGGAGCCTCTTGGGACATCCTGTGGCCTCTTGAGTCTTCTTGTGGCCTCCTGATGCCTCCTGGGACCTCATGTGACCTCCTCGGACCTCCTGGAGCCTGCTGGACTCTCCTGTGGCATCCTGGGGAGAATATGTGCCCACGAGTCTGGCCACCCAAACAGGCAAACCGAACGAGACATCCTCAACATCTGGCCCCCCTGGGGGGCGAACATGAGCGCCTCGCACCAGACATCCTCCAAATCTGCTCCGAAAGCGGAGGATGTTGGGGCCCAAGCAGGCAAACCGCCTGAGACATCCCCGCCATTTGGGCGCGAACGGAGGCCGTGAGATACCCCTGGCGGCCCCCCTTTAGGAGACGCCTCGCACGAGACATCCTCAACATCTGCTCCGAAAACGGAGGATGTTGGGGACCAAAACAGGCACACCGCCTGAGACATCCCCACCATTTGGGCGCGAACGGAGGCCGTGAGATACCCCTGGCGGCCCCACCTTAGGAGTGCTAAAACCAGCAAGCCGCTCGAGACATCCTCCTCATCTGCTCATCATCATCATCATCATCATCAGCAGCAGCAGCATCAGCAGCATCATCATCATCATCATCATCATCACCACCACCATCATACTCATCTATCGCTCAGCATCACCATCATACTCAATCATACTCTCACCATACCATGGTCATCATCATGACAATCATCATCATCATCATCATCATCATCATCATCATCATCATCATCATCATCATCATCATCATCATCATCATCATCATCATCATCATTGTCTAGTGCAGAGAGGGAGTGGTATGGGGGGTCCGGCGCGGTCGGATAATAACAATAACCCCATACTTTGGATTTGGGGAACAATACTACTAGTAATTAGCATTAGTATTATTATTGTTCGTGTTTGCCTTGTCTTATCCTCCTTCGTCTGCTTTTCCATCTCTTCAGTCGTTTCCTCCTGCTCTTCATGTTTCTTTCCTGACGTCTTCATTTTTATCTGCTTCTCATTCTTCGTGCGGCTCCTCCCCCTTCTCCTCCTTCATCCCCCCTCTTCCCTCCTTCACTCATAATCTCGCCCCAGTTTCATTGGTATTATTGCACCCGCTCCTCGTCCAAGACCGCTTCCCCAACGCATGGTTCCTGCTTCAGGCGCCGCGGCTCGTACTCCTTCTGCTCCTGCTCGTGCTGTGCATGTGCTCCGCGCTTCTGTTTAAATTTTAAATTGCCCCTTTCCCCCCCCCTCCCTCCCTCCCCTCTTTCCTGCGTCTCCTGGTGCTGTTCCTCCTCAACCTCCATCCTCCTCACTGCCTCTTGCCATCCAAGGGCTTGGGCTCCAGAGCTCTAAAGGTGTGCCGTCCGCCGGCCGGGCGCTGTGAACCACCGTTGGGAAACCGAAGCCGCGGGCGCGCGCGAGGAGCGAGATGTACCCGGCCTGCTATGGCCAGATGCTGCGCGGCACTCACGGGCTGTCGGTGCCGGCGAGGGATCCAGCGTGCCCCCTGACGCCGGACCCGTTTCCGAGCCCCGAGTTCATCGAGAGCGACGGTCTTGCGAGCGGACGCGTGACCCCGACCTGCGCGGTGGTCTCTGGCCGCGGCCAGTACCAGAGTTAAGTCGGGCTTGTCCCTCTGCAGGAGGAATATGCAAAATAGTTAAAACATCGTATTTGGGATATTTTTCGAGTATGTTTGAGCATTTTTTGTATGATTTGTTGACTACTTGCAATTTTCCCCAAAAATCCTCCTGTAGGGGGACATGCCCGACCTAATATCAGAGTCTGTCCGCCAGCATCAGCACCGAGCTGTGCCGCATGCTGGAGCAGCAGGGGAAGCAGGAAGGGCGCAGCCTCGGGGAACATACAGTGACGACGTGAGCACAAATGTTCTGAGGTCTGCGCGGATTTCTCGGATCGACGCTGGACCCCCCTCCGTGGCGCGCGGAGCACGCCAGGGGGCGGCGCCAGAGGCTCCGCTAGGGGGTTCCGGCGCCGATCCGAGACGTCTGTTCGGACTTGCGAAAGTTGAATGCTGATGTCGCTGGTTGTTCCCCCACAGCCGCACGGGGTACGGCTACGTGAGCCTGAGGCAGGCGATCTCCGCGGCAGTGCCACCATCGCCAGCCAGGCCGCAGGCCACGCCAGCAGGAGGAGAAAGTGGAGGAGGAGGGAGGAGGAGGGTGGAGGATGAAGAGGAGGAGGAGGAGGAGGAGGAGGAGGACGAGGACGAGGACGAGGACGAGGACGAGGACGACGAGGATGACGAGGAGGAGGGGGAGGAGGTGGAGGAGGAGGAGGACGAGGAGGAGGAGGAGGAGGAGGAGAAGGAGGAGGAGGAGGAGGAGGGGGAGGAGGAAGAATAACATCAGAAGAAGCATAACAATAATAATCATAATAGCACGAATAAGACTACTAACAACATTAGTAATAATACAAAGACAGAAGAAAAACATAAGAGGAATATTCATACTATTCATACTACTGAGTAGACTAAGCATAATAAGAAATCTAATATTAATAATAAGGGTGATAAGAGCAATACTACGAAAACTACAACTATTATTAAGAAGGATAGTAAGGACACGGATGCTAGAATAATAATATCAATAATGTGAATGATCCGAAAAATGCGAATACACGAATAATACGAAGAAGACGAATCATAATAATCGTAAGAATGACAATGATAATAAGAGGAGAAGGAGAAAAGAAGGAGGAGAAGGAGGAGGAAGAGGAGGAGGAGGAAGAGGAGAAAGAGGAGGAGGAGGAGGAGGAGGAGGAGGAGGGAGAGGGGGAAGGGGAGGAGGAGGAGGAGGAGGAGGAGAAGGAGGAGGAGGAGGAGAAGAGGAGGAGGAGGACGAGGAGGACGAGTGGACGAGGAGGACGAGGACGAGGAGGAGGAGGACGACGACGAGGAGGACGAGGAGGAGGACGAAGAGGAGGACGAGGAGGACGAGGAGGACGAGGAGGACGCGGAGACGAGGACGAGGAGGAGGAGGGGAGGAGGAGGAGGAGGAGGGGGAGGAGGAGGGGGAGGAGGGGGAGGAGGGGGAGGAGGGGGAGGAGGAGGAAGAGGAGGAGGAGGAGGAGGACGGGAAGGAGGAGGAGGAGGCCGAGGAGGATGAGAAGGAGGAGGAGGAGGAGGGGGGAGGAGGAGAGAGGAGGAGGAGGAGGAGGAGGAGGAGGAGGAGGAGGAGGAGGAGGAGGAGGAGGATGAGGAGGAGGGGGAGGAGGAGGAGGCAGAGGAGGAGGAGGAGGAGGAGAAGGAGGAGGAAAAGGAGGTGGTGGAGGAGGAGGAGGATTAAGAGAAGGAGGAAGTGGAGAAGGAGACAGAGGAATCGTCCTTGTGCCATCGCCTCCGCCAGCCAGTTGGCATCGCCGACGCAGGCCACGCCAGCAGCTGCGCCGGGCCTCAGGGAGCTGCCGCCACCGCCCTCCCACGGGGTTGTCTCCGTCGGGAGCCTGGGCCACCCCCACGCCTGCAAGGGTGCGTGCAAGCACTTCAAGCGCAAGGCGGGCTGCATTTCGGAAAACACGCAAACTGTTGATGAGCACATACCGGAGGTTGGGGTGCGAGATCGCAGTGGAACGGAGAGCCCCCCGCCTGGAAATCGGTTTCGGTTTCGTGATGTTTCGTGTTCGTGTCGTGCGTGCGGACGAGGCGAAACTGCGCGGGCGCGTGCGAGAAATGACCCCGCCGTCGCTAGGGCGATTCGGAGTGGACCGCCCCTCCGCTCCCAGTTGGCGCGCGGTGGCCCGGGCTGTCCCGCCGTGGTGTCCTGTGGTGGGGAAGTCAGGGGGCCTTCGTGGGCCCAGTACCGTCAGACCTCTCGGGCCGGATTATTTTTACTTGAGTACACGGCTGGCACGATGGTCAAGTCCCTTCTCTACGTTTTACAGTGACTGTTGCAATGTTGTAAAACATTCGTTTCTTTCGTTGCCTGCTCGTATCCCAGGCAAAAGACTGCACAGTGTAACCATCTTAGAGGCTGGCGCCCGTGAGGGTTCCTGTATGCTAGACGTAGTCAAGGCTGCTGCCCACAACGATTTAGATGAGCCTGGCATCTCCACGTTTGAGCGGTTTTGCAGAAAGTCTAAAAACGATGCGGACAGTGCTGCTCGGGACGCCATGAATATTCACCCGTCGGACGAAGAAGGGCCGAAGGCTGTAGATTTCAAGGTTTGGGTTGCCAGACTTGTTTGCAAGCTTGCGGCGAAAATTCTTCTTTGTTGTCCCAGGACCGACATTCTTGGAGCCAGCAAGTTGCCTTCTCCTGCTCCTCCTCCTCCTCCTCCTCCTCCTCCTCCTCCTCGCCTCTCCCACGACAAGCCATGCCATCAGAGGGTGGATTGGTCTGGCTTGTGGAAGTGTCGAGTTTGTTTCGGGGGAGGCAGAGCTCAGGACGAACCTTCCCCTTTGGGCTGCCCTGGCAGACATAAGCTAGACGAAGGTGCTCTAGTTTGTTTCCTAAGGCCACCGTGTCCTCGCGTTTTCGTGTTCGCACGGCAGTCACATCTTCCTTTGCATGAGGTGTCGTTGCCACAGTATGGGTGTTCGAGTTGATGGCCTGGGCAAGCCCTGCAGTGGTTTTCCTTCTAGGAGCGTGTTTCTTTGATGCGTGGGGCATGACGGGCGTCATGGCCCCCGCCTCCCCCCTTTATGACGTAACGCTTCCCCCCCCCAGTGCGCTCCGGGCACTGCCGTCGTGTGCATCGGGATCCGCAGATGCGTCCGCATAGGAATCCGCATAGGAGTCTGGTCCGCAGTCGTCGTCGTCGTCGTCGTCGTCGTCGTCGTCGTTGCCGCCGCCGCCGTCGTCGTCGTCGTCGTCGTCGCCGTCGTCGTTGCTCGCTCGTCGCTCGTAGATCGTCGTTCATCGTCGTTATGCGCGCGGACGCGGCTGGAACCTGTTTTTTCATTCCGGGCCGATGACGGCAATCATTTGGGGGGGGTGGAAGGGGCCGATGACATCACGTTTCGCGCCGGCGGCGTTTGGGAATGCCCAGGGATGACCGAGGACGGGTAGCAGCAGCATGTCGGAGGCGATCTGGACCACCACGCCTGTGTACACCACAGTGCCTGCGTGCACCACAGCGCCTGTGTACACCACACCGCCTATGTACATAGCAGCCGCGTTCAACACAGCGCCAGTGTGTGCCACAGTGCCTGCGGGCACCACAGCGCTTGTGTACACCACAGCGCCTGCGTACACCTCATCAGCCGTGTGGCAACACAACACCAGTGCACACCACAATGCCTGCGTGCACCACAACAACCGTGTGCAGCACAGTACCGTTGTTGTATGTAGAATGTTTGAAGCAATCATTATGAAAGAATGGATCGCTTGTGGAATCAGCGGGAAATCATTTTTGTATAGGATTTGGAAAGGACACCTTATGGAAAAAGGAGCGCCGCTGGAATCTTCGAGTCTTCCCGAGTCCGCCCGCATCATCCTAATTCCTCCTTTTTGCGTCCAGGAGTCTCCAGCTAAATTGGTTGTCCGAGAACCGAGTGGACTGATTCAATCAACGATTCTGCGGTGCACGCTGAGATGCGCACGTGCGCTGCAGCGTCGACCCGCACGACAGGGGGGAATGGTGAGGGAGGAGGAGGAGGAGGAGGAGGAGGACGAGGAAGAGGAGGAGGAGGAGGAAGAAAACGGGGAGGTGGAGGTGGAGGAGGGAGGGGGGAATTTCGTCGCATTCTATTATCAGCACTTCTCTGGCGTGTCGTTTAGCTGTCCGCAGCAGATCGTCACCTACATGCTTCATTTATTTGTCCTGTGCACGCAGGCACTGTGGTGTACACCAGCGCTGTGTTGCACGCGGGTGCTGTGGTGTAGACAGGCGTTGTGGTGTGCACAGGCGCTGCGGTGCACGCAAGCATTGTGGTGTAGACAGGCGCTGTGTTGCACATGGCTGCAGCGGTGTACACATTCGTTGTGGTGCACACCGCCGCCGTGGTGCACGTAAGCACTGTGGTGTACACAGGCGCTGCGCTGCACACGGCTATTGCGGTAAACGCAGGCGTTGTGGTGTACATAAGCTCTGTGGTGCACGCGAGCATTGTGACAAACACAGGCACGGTGGGTCAGATCGCCTCCTACATGTTGCTGCTGTTGCTCGCGTCGTCTTCGTCGTCGTCGTCGCTCGTCGCTCGTCGCTCGTCGCTCATCGTCGTCGTGCACGCGGGCACGGTTGTGGTGCCGGAGCCACTTGGCGGGAGGGGCCGTTACGTCAAACCCCCCCCCCGTCCCCTTCCCCCAACCATGACGCCCGTCATCGCCGGAAAAAAAGAAACGCGTTCTAGAAAGACTCACTACGCTTGGCGTGACCTTTATGTCAAGGGTTTGCATCCAGATCCTCGCGGGAAGCATGTTCTGTCAACGTCAGCTCGGTCATTGGCCTGTTCTGTTCCGCTCCGACCGGCACAGATGCGGATTTGACCGAAGAGGGCAGCAATCAGGCTGCCACAGCTTTCTTACAGGGCAAGAGTTCTGTTGTGGCAGCAGACCGTGCGTCATCCATCTCTCATGGGACGGCCACCGCGCTGCTGCCCAAGGTTGCTCCAGAAGGCCCTCCGCAGTCTCGCCAGTCGGAACCTTCTGCGGTTGCAGCTAAGGGTAGCGAGGATAGTGGCGTGGATTGGCTTGCTGCTGCCGAGCTCGGTCTCCCCTCGTCCTTGGTTCCTCCCCCCCTCCTCGCGTTCTGAACGCTTGGGGGAAGTGGATCCTCGAGGTGGACAGCAGGCCCCTGCCGCGGCCAGCCGTTCCCGCCCTCGCGTTTCGAGGCGGTGGCAGCGGTTGGACGCTGGCGAGGAAGCTGTGGACGCTTGTGCGGCAGGTTCCGCGACCAATAACGGTTTGTCCTGCGTTGGCGCGTTGGTTCTTGATTTTTCTTCTTTTGTTGGTTGCAGAGCGGCGTGCTTGCAGGAGGCATTGACGTGGCGGCCTCTCTCCGCCTTGAGGAGGAGTTGTCTGCTAAGGCGCGTGACACTGCTCAGGAATCGGGCAACTGTTTTCATACTCGGACAACTCGTATTCGTCTGTTTTGTCTTATCCCCCTTGCTTAGTTTTGGCAGGGGGGGTCCTGCTTCGGCTGGACGGCGATGCAGTCGCCCGCCTTCGTATTGTTGAGAGTCCGGCAGAGAGGGCGTCGAGTCCAAGAACATGGGCGGGCTCTTGGCTGGGGGTCTCCCGCTTTGGTATCGATAGTGAAATCGATAGGGAGGTCGAATATGAGATCGCTAGAATGTAATGGGTAGTGATATCAAAAGTGAGATCGACACTGAGGTTGATTGTGACAGTGGTTGTGGGACCGATAGTGAGATGACAGGGAGATCGAAAGCGAGATCTATAATGATAATACATATATATATATATGTATATTGTGATATCGATCGTGAAGTCCATCGTGAGATCTATCGAATGTGATCGATCCTGCGAGGTCGACAGTGGGATTGATCGAGTCAAGTCAAACGTGGGGCCGATAGTGACATTCAATCGCAGAGCAACACTGTCATCACACGTCGTCGATAGCTCGAAGACTCGTCACCAGCATCGTCATCATCACACCCATCGCATTTACCAGCAGTTACCCCTCAACCTCCTTGTCACCCGAAGGATGGTCGTACAGGTATGTGTTGAGGTTGGGGTGTGAGGTCGAAGTGAAACTGAGACTCCCCTTACCCGAAAACCAGTTTCGGTCTCATGTTCGTGTCGTGCGTGCGGGCGAGGCGACGCTGCGTGGGCGGACGAGAGGAATGAACCCTCCTCTGGCTAGGGCGCCGCTTGGCCAAAGGAGTGCCCCCCAGGGTTGTCCGGCGGTGGCCAGGGGTGTCCTGCCGTGGTGTTCCGATGGTGTTTTGATGATGCCCTGACGGTGTCCCGATGGTGTCCCGATGGTGTCCCGATGGTGTCTTGGTGATGTCCCGGTGGTGTCCCGATGGTGGCCCCATGGTGTCCCGATGGTGTCTCGATGGTGTCCCGAAGGTGTCCCGATGATGTCTTGTGGTGTCCTGATGGTGTCCCGTGAGGTCGATTGCAAGATCGATGGTGAGATGGAGAGTGCGCGAATCTCGGTTTAGCGTGAACAGCCTCGATGTCTTCGAAGGCGTGTCTGGTCAGCCTCTCACGAACACTAGCAACACTGGCGGGATGAAAAGTAATGCGATACCTATACAACCACCCTTCGGGTGGTAAGGAGCTTGTGGAGGGGGGGAGAGGGGGGAACCAACATCTGACTCAATCGATCTCACTATCGATCTCACTCAACGGGACACCACGGGACACTTGTCGATCTCATTATCGATCTCACTCAACGGGACACCACGGGACGTCACGGACCACCACGGGACACCACGGGACACCTCTCGATCTCACTATCGGTATCTTTATCGATCTCACTATCGATCTCATTCAACGGGACACCATAGGACACCACGGGACACCTCGGGACACCACATCGATCTCATTATCGATCTCACTCAACGGGACACCACGGGACACCACGGGACACCTGTCGATCTCACTGTCGATCTCACTATCGATCTCACTTTTTGAAACACCACGGGACACTTCGGGGCACCACATCGATCTCAGTACCGATCTCACTATCGATCTCACTGTCGATCTCACTCAACGAGACACCACGGGACTCCACGGGACACCACGGAACACCTCGAGCCACCGCCGGACGGGCGGGAGGGGGAGAATCATTTGTCTTGACTTCGCCCTAGCAGCGGCGGACACCACGGGACACCGCGGGACACCGCGGGCCACCGCCAGACGCGCTGGCGGGCGGGGGAGAATCATTTGTCTTGACTTCGCCCTAGCAACGGCGGGTTCATTCCTCTCGCGCGCCCACGCAGCTTCGCCTCGCCCGCACGCACGACTCGAACGAAACGAAACGATTTCCCGGTTGGGGGGTCTCCGTTCCATTGCGATCTCACCCCCCAACTTCCGATGTAGTATGGTGGTGCGTGTATATATATATATATATATATGTGTCTGTCTGTCTGTAATGTATGTATGTATGAATGAATGAATGTATGTATGTCTCTGTATGTCTCTGTCTGTCTATGTATGTATGTATGTATGCATGTATGTGTGTATGTATGTATGTATACATTATACGCCTATGTTTGTATATGCATGCATACGTACATATACGTACGTGCGTGCGTGCGTGCGTGCGTGCATACATACATACATACATACATACATACCTACCTACCTACCTACCTACCTACCTACCTACATACATACATACATACATACATACATACATACATGTGTATGTGTGATCTGGTGGTCTCGCGCGCGTCTCGCTCCCGCTCGACCTTCATTATTACTACGCCGCGCTGCTGCGCGCGTGACCGCGACGCCAAGAGAGTTGTTTCTGTGTCAAAAAAGCAGAACAAAATCGCAAGGCGGGCTGCATGATGGGCGCGGAGTGTGACCGCTGCCACCTGTGCCACTGGCAGCGCACGGGCAAGGATCGTGGGGCACCAACTGCATACCTACACCCATCCTGGCCAGGCCGATCGTGGGTCCAGGATCGGTATACGTGTGCTTGTGTGTGTGCGCCCTAGTGGCCAGGCCAGGAGGGCGTATATACCAATCTTGGACTCACGATGCACTTGGACAGGATCCATGTACGTGCGTAGTTGGCGCCCCCCTGAAGGAACCCCAGCGCCCGGCGACCGCCCAGCATGTTGTGGCCGCCGTTGCCACAGCGCAGGCGGCAGAGGTTGAGCACGACGATGACGACGACAACGACGATGACGATGACGGCGCAGGACGACGACGACGACGACGACGACGACGACGACGACGACGACGACGACGACGACGGCGCAGGCGGATGCTCACCAGCCCGCGGCCACGCCTCCGCCTGCTGGGGCGCTGCCCTCGCGCGCGGCCGCGCCTTCCTGGGACGAACCCGCGTACGTGCCCGTGCCGCCCAGCGCGGGATGCGCCGTGGCGGCAGGCCTGCCTCGCCCAGATCGTTTCCCTTCCCTCTCCTCCCTCTCCATCCTCCTCCTCCTCCTCCTCCTCCTCCTCCTCCCCCTCCTCCTCCCTCCTCCTCCTCCTCCTTCCTCCTCCTCCTCCTCCTCCTCCTCCTCCTCCTCCTCCTCCCCGTCACCAGCATCATCATCATCATCATCATCATCATCATCATCATCATCATCATCAGCATCAGCATCAGCATCAGCATCAGCATCAGCATCAGCATCAGCATCAGCATCAGCATCAGCATCAGCATCACCACCACCACCATCATCATCATCATCATCATCATCATCATCATCAGCATCAGCATCAGCATCAGCATCATCATCGTCATCGTCATCGTCATCATCATCGTCATCGTCGTCGTCGTTGTCGTCATGATTACGATTATGCTTATCAGTAGCATTACCGGTATCATAATCGGCCTTATCGTCATCAGCATTACCATCGTCAGCAGCCTTATCGTCATCATCACCAAAATTTGCATCACCTCCATCTTCATATCCATCTTCATCATCGTCGTCATCATGGGTCATTTTGGGACCCTCTTGGGGGGGGCGTCTTGGGGACATCGTGGAGGCTGCTTGGGCCGTCGTGAGCTGACGGAAGCCTGAAAAGGCGAGAATGCGAAAGTCATGTCAAAACAACAGGGGATTAGTGTTTTGGGCTTCTCCGGGCCCAGTGGGAGGTCCTTGTGTGGTTCTTTCGGGCCCTCTTGGAGGCATCTCGGGCCGTCTTGAGGCCATTCTGCCACGACGAGGCCATCTTGGGCCGTCTTCGAGGCATGTTTGGCCATCTTGGTGTCCCTGGTTGACTGCATGGGCCGTCTTGGAAGCTTGGGACGCGGATCAATCGGTTTTGACGAGGGATCGTGGACTCGGGAGCGCGGGCCCCTTGTTTTTTCTAGAGATCGTGTCCTCGGGAGGAGGGGGGGATGCACGCGACATTCTGGTACGAGGGGGTGTCCCTTCTCAGAATGCAGAAACCCTACAAGGCAGCACCTTGAATTCCGCAATGCAGAGACATGGGACACAACCTAAGTGTAACCGAGCACGGATTGACAAAAAGTGCTTCCGTGTGTCCTCCTTTTCCTCTTTTACCCTTCCCCCCTTGTTGACAGACAGGACCACCGCAGCCATTACGGCCATGGGGCGCCTGCGCGCCGAGGAGCGTCCCGCGCCCGAGTGTTCTTAAGGGTTGGTGATAACATCTTTCTCTTTTTTCATTGTTGTTCCGTCCCCCCGATGCCTGCTGACAATGGTAGCCGGAGCGTGGACGAGGCCGCGACGGGTGATGATAATGTAGAATCGCCAGCTCGTGAGGGCAACCAGGACGCGCGAGGCGCCCGGTGCAAGGGCGCTCATGACGACCCGTGGGAGACAGTTTCGACACCGAAGAAGGGCGAGGGCGATGCGACTGCAGACAGCCAGCGAAACCCTTGGGCCAGGTGGAAAGCTGATTGGTGGCAGTCTGACTCCCGGTATCCGCGGTGGCGCACAAGCGGAGATTGGGGGAAGTCGACGTGGGAAGAGACCAATCGCCATTTTTCGGCACCTCCTACGTTTCACGGGTTAGAGCACCGCGATTTGTACATCGCTAGTTTGACCTCTTTGAACGCTAGAACGGGTTTCAAGGCGACGACGAGGGCCGGCCAGATCATCGAGTGCTTCTCCATAGAGCTGCAGGCCAAGTTCAAAGCAATTCGACATCCGTGTGACGACGAGGACGGACTGCAGAGAGTGATTGATCATTTGAGGCTCCTCAATCGAGAGCGCCCCAGGGACAGGGGGCGCGAGGCGCACAATGAGGCGCTCTTCGACTACGCTATCAAGAAGGGCGAGACGCTGACCGATTACGCGGTGAGAAGGGGCCAGCTGATTGCGGCCGCGGAGCGTTTCGGGCTCACGCTGCCGGACGCGGTGAAGGCCATATACTACGAGGAAGGAGCTAACCTCACGTCTCAGATGGCCGTCAACCTTCGGACGCTGATGGGCGGCGAGAAGAGCGTCGATGCGGTGAGGTCCGCTCTGCTCGAGATGGACATAGCCGAGAAGCCGACGTTGCCTAAGCATCCGTCGGCCCGACAGTCGAGGACCTTCGCGACGACGATCACAGAGGGTGACGAGTGCGAGTGTCAGGCATGCGACGACGGAGAGTGTTTCGGCTTTTTCGAGATGGACTTTGATGAAGACGACTTGGCCACGATTTTGGTTTCGCTCGACTCGCAAGATATCTCTGAGGAACACATCGCTGACATATTCGCAGAAGTTACTCTACCTCGTAGGCGGAAGACATGGGCAGAGGCAAGGCATATGAAGACTGCCAAGAAAGTGGATCGGGACTTCTTCGACCGTCGGAAGCAGGGCCCCCGGGCACTAGAAAGGTCACGCGTGATGGTTTCAAAAGGAGATCGAGGTGTTCCAACTGCGGCGCGAAGGGGCAGTGGGGGGGGGCTGTCGGAAGCCGCGCAGGAGCAAGGCCGATCGCCTGAAAGCAGAAGCAGCTCGACCGACTCAAGATCAAAAGCCGAGACAGTCGTTCTATTTCACGTTGGGCCAGGATCCAAACGTTCATTCCGGCAGCCCCCGGGCGGTTTTGGTCGACGAGGGCGGCGAGGCGCGCCCTCTCGGAGCTGAGTCTCTCACGGCTCTCGGCTTCGACCCAGGCCCGGGCCAGGTGGGCCGGGATCAGGGTTCGCTGCTGGGCGCCGCCACCCTGCAGGACATTCGCGCTCGTGGGCGCTGCTGCCGGGCAGGCCCTGGCGGGCGCGCTGGACGTGGAGCGCATGGCGCAGGCGTTCGAGAATGTGGGCTTCGCGGTTCACATCATTCGCGACGGTGACAAGTTGCCGGCCGCCAACGGAGTCGGCGGAAAGGCGAAGCCAGTGGGGCGAGCCATCGTGCCTATGTCTCTGCACGGCTGCGGTGTGGAGTTTCTCATGCTGCCCCATCCTTGTCCACCTCTGCTTCCAGCTCGGTTCTTGGAGTTTCTGCGTTCCGTGATCGACCTGAGGGCCAACGAGGTGACGATGGGCTCTGAGGACTCACGGCGCACGGTCGATCTACTGAGACTTCCATCGGGGCACCGAGCAGTGTCCACGGTGGACTGCGAGCCCTCGGAGTTCGCGCTTGACAGCGAGATATCAGCCAAGTTCCCCTCTTTCGTCAAGGAGCCTACCGGAGCATGGGTAGAGTCAAGCCCGGCGCTCCAGGCCTGCTGGTCAGTCGCAGGTAGAGTTCTCCGACGAGTGCACGCACGTGAGGCCGCGTCGAGATGCCCTCTCGTTCGCCGAGGCCGAGGCACCTCCAGTCGGTGTGAATCAGACCGGTCAGGGCAACGTCTGCCAGTACCTGGGCGACGTGGGCGGCGGCTGCCAGGCCATGGGCTGCGACTGGGAGAGCGGCGCGCCTGTCGCGAATATCAAGTTCGAGGGGCGCTGGGTCGGGTGCATGGAGTTCCAGATCGTGAGTCCTCCTCGGGACTCGGGGGCTCGGGGGTGGTGCTTGCAGTGAGGGAAGGGGCGCTTTTGCTCAGCAGGTCTCACCCTCGTCTCCTCCTTCCCCCCCAGCCTGTCAGGGCAGCGGGAACCTCGGTTGGGGACTTCTCGGGGCTCTGGAACCAGCGGGGCCTCCGCGGGGCACCCCGGCTCAAGCTTCGGCGGCAGTCAACTACTCCCCCCAGCTTTCGGCCGATCTGACGGCCAACTCTCGACTACTATTCAGCTTCGGCCCGGGCACGGCGCTCGAGATGCCGGCGGGCCAGAGGGTCAGGGTGATCAAGAGCAGTAGCGCTCGTTCGCTGAGGGACATGAGTGCAGCTACGCTCAAGAGTCTTCGCGACGATCGCGACCCGGATCTCGACGCGATCCCGGAGTCGGAGGGCATGGGGGCGGACGACTCGGAGCTTGCTGGGACCAGACGCCGGATCCCTGGGTCGACTGGGAGCTCCAGCTGAGCAACGAGGAAGGGGAGATGACCGCGGTGGAGAAGGAGCTGTTCCTGTAAGGGGGCTTCATGCTCAACCCGCCAGCTCGGGTCTGGCGCAAGTGGGCGATCAAGCTGATGGTCTCCCCGCGCGCGCCGACGGCGACGCGTCTGCTCGCGGCGGTGGCGCCCAGACTGACCCCCGGCAAGAGGCCCGGCGTGCAGGGCGAGGGCGGCCAGGCGAGCTGCTCCCACCCCCTTTCGGCTCGCTGGAAAGGCGGGAACAAGCGCGGGCGCTACTCGAAGTGCCGCGCGCGCGACAAGAGGCTGTCGTTCGTTCGGAAGACGAAGGAGGAGATCGAGGAGATTCGCATCAAGGTCGCGGCTCAGACAGAGGAGTGCCGCAACAAATGCCGCATGAAGGACGAGCCCCCGGCGCGGTCGAGCCTCCTCAGGTGCCGAAGCATCCTCGCTTGAAGGCCCCGTCAGCCTACGCGATGCACACGGGCACGACAACGGCTCGGAAGTCCGCTCCAGCATCCGAGAGGGCGACCTCGATGGAGGAGAGCGGTTCCCGCGGCAGCGGGGGCGCGGGCAGCGGCGCGGACGAGATCAAGCAGAGCTTCGAGACCATGCAGTGGATGATGGTGGAGGACCGCAAGGAGCGTGCTCAGCAGATGAAGGCCCTGATCGAGGTGGTCAAGTGCCTTGGGGCGATCCACCCAGTGGCTGCGCCCGAGGCGCGATCGACCCTCGGCCTGGCGCGTCCGCCGAGGACGCCGCTCGACCGCATCAGGCGCTTACAGCTGCAAGCCTGCCGCCAGCAGCAGAGACCAGGGCATCTGCTCAGGCGCCCGCTCTCGCTCAGCCAGACCGTTGCGCGAGGTCGGATAGCGAGGCTAACGAGGAGAGAAAGGAGTCCCTCCCCTCATCTTCCCCCTCCACCAGCATTCGATATTCCTCCTTCTATTACCTTTCGCCCGAGAGCCTGGCCCAGGCCAAGATGCTTGCTCAGCTCCCCGAGGCCGGATCCTAAGGCCGCTGGATCGCCGAGA